TGCTGAACCAAGAGCAAATGGTTCCAACTCTGGTTTTATCCCCAGCGTCTTTCCAAAGACTTCCAATGAGACTGCATGCCTCTGCAGCATGGAGGAGCCCAGCCATTGTCTCCTCCTCTTCTGTCACACCAGGAAAACTGCACCAACAGGGTGCCAGCAGCCACGAGGGGCTGGTCTCAGCAAGGCCGTGGTGTCTCTGCACCTCAGCCTCGTGTCCAGAATGTGGAGTGATCATCATCACCCCTGCCATTGCTTTGGCCTTTTTCATATTTATGGCAAGGCCCATCCAGGGTTTTTCCTTGCCCAGCAAAAGTAGTACCGCGTACCTTCCCTTTAACCACAGCAAATAAAAGAAAGAAACTACACCGAGTGTTCACTGCTACAGACCATGCCTAGCCCAAGTGACCCAGCAGGTTACAGCTGGCCAGCAGGGCTCAGTTCCCCAGTCCTTTGACGGAATGTCAAACCCAGTGAAAGTAACAGTGGAAAAAGAATAAACTTACAGTGAGCAACTTCTCTACCATGTGTGTAGACTTGTTGAGGCTTAGTAAAAGGTCCTCACAAAATGTCATTGTCACTTCTGTTCCCCGGATAGCAAGAGTGCCAACATCCTTTAAAACGAAGTCTGCATCTTCCTTCTTTTTTAGGATGTAGTAGAAAAAGTCCAGGGTCTCCTGCATACAGTGCTGCACGACTCTCTCAGAATAGCGCACATCCGAGTGGATCCTCTTGTAGCTCACTGACACTTTCTTCATCTCTTCTGGAAAAGAGGAAGAAGACTGTAACTCAGACAGCAGTTGGACAGACTCAGATAAAGTGCCAGCAGCTCCAAGGTATAGCACTTTCTGGTCTAACCACCCAGTACAGCTCCTTAAAGGGCCTGATGTAGGCCCCTCTTCAAGTAAAGGTCAAATCACTCCATTAATGGATGTGCCGAGCCGCAGCCATGATTCCCTAAACAGAAAGAGGAACCAAGAACCTCGGCCATCTGTGTCCACATGACGCAGGAGGGCAGGACAAGGTGGGAAGAATAGGGCTGGTTCCCATGGGGAGAGAGGAGGGTGCAGGGCCATGGAGCTGAGCCCACATGTAGTGCACTTCTGGTCTGGGGAGAATTGGGTATAAACACAAATAAACCACCACTTAGTGCTGCACAGGCCCCATGATGGCACACTGCAGTTACAGCAATTGCCGCAATGGTCTGAAATGGCAGCAGATCTGGCCATTGCCAGGTTTCTGTGCTAGCTGTCATATCCATCTCACATTCAAGGTTGTCTACAGCTGACTTTGACCCACTTCTCTGCATAAAAGTAGCCCTAAGGGCCTGTGGGCATTTGCCTCAACAAGGTCTGGTGCGGTGCAAGAACAAAGCATCAGCATAATCTCAACGCCTTAATGGTAAACAGTTCTAATAAATGACTGTCAGCCAGCAAGCAGGCATTCTACAAAGCCACATATGTGGCTGGCACAAAGCAGCCATGTGGCTAAAGCAGATCATGGAGAGACGGTACAACGTTTTACAGCCTTAATAAAGACTAGGACAAAAGAAATGGCCCCTGTCCAGGCATTGCTACTTGGTGGGCTGTTTGTGTCCTCCCACAGTGATTGTTCTCAGGGCCTTCTGAAGGCCTCTGATATGTCCATCATCACTTCTAAACAGCATCCAACATAAACTCCAAGTATATGGATGTACAGGAAAACAATGAATTTCATTGCTCTCTTACCAGGAATGGGTACAGAAGTATGTTGCAGCTCACGGGTCTGTGCAACAGTCTCAGACAGCGAAAATACAGGTCCCTGTAATGTGAGCACCTCGCCATTTTCAAAATAGTGCCATTTTTTAATATGAAATGTCCCCAGTCCTGTTATGCTGACAGCCCGAGGCTGGAAAAAAGAAGAGAATGGCAAGCATTTGTAGGTTGAAAAAGAGTGAGGACTTGTGAGACCTTGCAAGGGGGTTCCTTGTGTCCTGCCAACTCCTGGTCCAGAACACTTTTGCACACTTCAACCAGACTTTTTTTTCTGTATTTATACATTGCATATATAAAAAATATGTATTTTATTTTACTGTGGTTTTTTTGGGTTTTTTTAATGTAGGTATTTATTTGATGTGTCTCCATTTACAGAGAAACTGGTCTTTGGCAAATCTGTAAATCACAATGCAGTTCTGGGAAGAACAACAGCACTTGCTGGCAGAGGGGTGCCAAAATCCCTGAAGCCATCTGGGTGAGGGGAGGGGGTAGGGTAGGATCCCACCTTTTCCTTCAGGAGCTGTTGCCGAACATGCTTAGACACACTGCTCCAAATAGTAATGACATCTGGAAAACAAGGAAAAGACACGTCAAGCTCTAAGTCAGCCAGCTCATGTCCCGTCAGCACGTCTGTAGACAAGGAGATGGTGGATGCAAGTGTGCTTCAACAGTCTTCACAGGATAAACCCATCTGTGACACAGGCCGAATCTTTGACTGGCCTTGGGCCTTCTTCCAACAGGACATCTTTCCCTTCAGAGCCAGATCCCTGAGTGTGACCCACTGCCAAGGGAAACCCATCCACAGGACTTCCACCATGGCAAGAGAAGGTGCTGCATGCACTGGACCCTGTGGGGCGCAGGGTGTCCCTAGGGGCCTCCCCTGCATGGACAAACCCCACTTCCCACAATTTGTGCCCCTCATCTTGTCTGCAGTGACGCTCATCAGAGAGCTCCCAAAGGCCCTACCGTTGGCGGAAAGCTTCTTGAGGGTAGGAAATGTGATGGTGCTGCAGAGCTCAACGTTGGTGACCAGCGCTTTCAGTTTTGCCATGTTCTTGCTTGGGGTCAGCACGCCGGGCTGACGGGGGATTTTGATGTCTCCTGCTGGGAAACACCCCCTCGCTGATGAGCTCGCCTGTGCTTCACCAAACAGCTCTGCACTGTCCCACCGCCTCCCTTCGTCCTCTGCGTCTCTGAGGTACAGGAGAGACTTCTCGTGTCCCCTGGATCCGAGAGCTCGCCAAGGCGTTGCAGGGAAGTGAAGGGAGGGCCTGGGGTGCGGGGTTCTGATGGGGGGGGCTCTGTGACACAGGTTGATGTCACAGAGGGAAGGGACGCTTCCACATCACCCCCACACCCACTGACCTGCAGCTTTGGTCCTGCAATGAAAAGGGGGCTACTCTCTCAAAGAGTCCTCACTCCCTGAGGAGGCCATGGGGCAGGGACAGCCTCTGAGATGTCACCAAATGACGGAAACAGGGACACAGAATATGTGAGCCCACATGAACCAGCAATGTGCGCCAGCAGCCCAGCGAGCCCCCGGCATCCCGGGCTGTATCCCCAGCAGCGTGGCCAGCAGGGCGAGGGGGGATTGTGCCCCTCTGCTGCGCTCTGCTCTGCTCTGGGGAGACCCCCCTGCAGTGCTGCCTCCAGCTCGGGGGCCTCAGCACAGGAGAGACATGGACCTGGTGGAGCGGGGCCAGAGGAGGCCCCGGAGATGCTGGGAGGGCTGGAGCCCCTCTGCTGGGAGGACAGGCTGGGAGAGTTGGGGGGGTTCAGAGAAGAGAAGGCCAAAAAGGGGAGAGCTCAGAGCCCCTTCCAGTGCCTAAAGGGGCTCCAGGAGAGCTGGGGAGGGACTCTGGATCAGGGAGGGGAGCCGTGGGACGAGGGGGAACGCTTTGACACTGACAGAGGGGAGATTTAGATGAGATATTAGGAAGAAATTCTTCGCTCTGAGGGTGGTGATCCCCTGGGGCAGGTTGCCCCGAGAAGCTGTGGCTGCCCCATCCCTGGAGGTGTTCAAGGCCAGGTTGGACGGGGCTTGGGGCAACCTGGGCTGGGGGGAGGTGGCCCTGCCCAGGGCAGGGGGCGGCACTGGATGGTCTTCAAGGTCCCTTCCAACCCAAACCATTCCGTGATTCTGTGACCATCCCACTCCCACCAAAGTGTAGGGACGGAAAGTAGCAACTGTAGGTGGTTTCACGTTGATGCAGGTTTTGGTGATGACACTGAAATACTGACACTGGCACTGCACTTCCAGCTGCCATTGCACCCACACAACGCGACCCGAGATCAAACACAGCACCTGCATCCGGCAGGGATGTAAAAACCAATTCTGAAAGAGAATAGGCCTTCCTGTGTAAATTGTTGGTTGAGACTGCAATCTCACAAAAACCTTTTATTTACGTTTCAGCATAAATTACACTGACACAAGGCCTACGTGCTGTCTTAAAAACGCTTCAGTGAACACCAGCTGCTGTGAATCACTGTTGGACTTAGTTGGGCTCAAGAGCGTTGGACTTATTTGGTCTAAATAGCGAGGGGCGCGGCCTTGCAGGCCCTTCACCCGCCGGGGACATTCAGGCCCGGCCCCGCCACCGGGGGCGCTGGCGCCGCCGGAGTCCCTGGCCA